GGGATCTGTACAAAGTTGGTAATTATAACCATGGTCTTGGAACCATGAATGGAACTCAGTCCAGACCTTTGCTGGGTGCAGGGAAACCATGTCTAATAAAAAAACAAATTACACTGTTGGCAGAACATCTCAGAATGTGTCAGAAGTCCCTCTGACAATGTGTGAGACAGAATGAGGCTTTAAGAACAGTAAAAGTGTTTCAGAAAGAAGAATGTGAGGAGCTGGGGTTAGCTCAGTGGCTGAATGCATGGTCAGCATGTGCAAGGCCCTACACTCCCCAGCACTACCTACTCCTTCCTAAAAAAGACAGTATCAAGAAAGCAAAGAAATAAAGTTCAGAAAAACAAGGGCAGAAATGAATAATAATATGTAGTGCACTTTAAGATTTAGAATTGGGCATTGCTAAAAATAAAGATTCTGAAGAATGGACAAAGGAAGTAGATTTGGATAGGGAAGAAGTTAAAACATTATTATTTTTGTGGTACTGGGAATTGGATCCAGGGGGTGCTCTACCACTGTGCTACATTCCCAGTCCCTTTTCAAAAATTTTAATTTTAATCCTGGGTCTAGCTAAATTTCCGTCTGGCCTTGAATTTGGGATCCTCCTGCTTCCACGTCCCAAGTAACTGGGATTATGGGTGTTTGCTAGCACACCTGGCTTAAAATTTTTTTTTTTTTGGTACCAGAGATTGAATTCAGGACCTTGCGAGGCCGGGGATTTAGCTCAGTGGTTTTGCCACCTGCTGCGCAAGCGCAAGGACCAGAATTTGATCCCTGGTACCAAAAAAAAGTAAAAAAAAGAATTCAGGACCTTGTGCTTTTGAGGCAGGTGCAGAACCACTGAGCTAAATCCCTGGCCCTTAAAATAGTTTTTGATGTTTGTCTTTTCCAATGTGATAGCAGAGAAAAGATGGAGCCCTGGCATTCGATAGAGGTAGCAGCAGTAGATAAGTTAGACGAACTGATAGTGATTATAGGAACAGTGTCCAGAATTAAGTACATTTCCACTTTCCTCTCAGCAAAATATCCTAGAGAAACTGGAAGCAACAATATGATTGCCTATTAAATGCAACATATAATCATAATCTTTTTATTTTTTATCTTTTTGGTTTTTTGAGATAGGTGCTTGCTTTGTAGTTCAGGCTGCTCTCAAACTCACAATAATCCTCCTGCCTCAGCTTCCTGAGTGCTGGGATTACAGGTGTGTACCATCATGCCCAGCATAAGTGTGATCTTAAGAGGTCTAAAATACAATACCTACCAAGTAAACAGAAAGTAAAAGAGCAACAGGAGACAGAGGACTGAGCTAAGAAATTTCCTGACTTGATATTATCAGAAGCTTTGCTAGGCATTTTATACCAACATTTGAAAGCAATGGTTTAGACTTACTCTCTCTAGGGGCAGGTCCTTTGAACTGACTCCTGATAGGTAGCAGCGCCATATTTCCAATAAGTTTGGTGTCGGGGTCCATAAGAGAAGAGTGGTAGGCCTGCAATAGCACCAATTTAGAATACAGAAACCGAAGGACGACAAACATGGGGTCAGGCAAGGACATTCCTCTAAAGAAAAAAAAGTAACTGCCCAAGATTAACTAGGGGAAAGATGCCAAGGAGGGCACCAGTGATGTGCAGAGGTTTTAAAAGGTCTTAGTAATTTTGTTTTTGTTTTTTGAGACAAAGTCTTTCTATGTAGCCCAGGCTAGCCTTGAACTCTGTTCCTTCTGCCTCAGTCTCCCAAGTGCTGAGATGACAGGTGTGTACCATCATGCCCGGCAAGAAAAGCATTTGTTAAATTCTTGAGGAATTCTGCAAGCTGGTTGTTAAACACAGCCATGCTCAAAAATTAAATTATATAAACTTGCACTTAAATTATATATTAAAAACAAAGGGGGCTCGGGATTTAGTTAAGTGGTTCCAGCACCTGCCTGGGAAGTGCAAGGTCCTGAGCTCAAACCCTGGTACCAAACCAACCCCCCCAAAAACAAAGGTAAGTACTATTTCCCAATTTTTAAAAACTAGATTTTGCTACTGTCTATGTTCTTAAGATTATTTATGTCTTTTGTATCTTTATGGAGGAAATATGCTATCAGGTGCCATTGTACACCTCTTTTAATTCCCCTTCAGTGACACTGCAGTGGGAGCATTTCCACTACTTTATAAGTCAGGTTACCCACTCTCCAGCTGGTTTACCTAACCAGGACTCAAGCTTTTCAGTTTTACCACTTCCCAGCTTGTTTCCTCAGTACGGGGAATTGAACCTAGGTCAGAGGGGTGAACCTATGGCACATGTGCTGCAGTGGCTGTTTGCTATTGAAAGCTCTAAAAGGTTTGCTATCAGTGACCAAAGCCTTCACATTGAGCTTTATCTCTCCCACTCCTCCTTTTTTTGAAGACAGGCTCTTGCTAAATCACTAAGTTGACCAGGCTGGGCTCGAAGTTGTGAATCTCCAGCCTCAGTGCTGGGATCACAGGGGTACACTCCCCATCCCAGCTAGCTTTGTGTCTTTAACCAAGACATCTCTTTTCTTCCCTTAGTCTGTTTTCAAACTTGTAAAATATCTATACTGCCTTTAGTGGGTAACTGCGTGAGTTAAAGGAGAGGGAAAAAAGTAATTTATGAGAGCATTTTGTATGCCAGTTACTAGTTCTGCTTTTTCAAAATGTCTGGCTTTTTAAGACAACATGCCCATTCATTCATTCATTCACCAAACGATCATCAAGCACCTTCTATGTGCATGGCACAGTGATAGAGATATATAAGAGCAGTGTGGTTCCTGCCCTTGAAGAACTTTCAGGCTACTGGAGAAAGCAGGAATACAGTAAGTAGTCACAGAGTAAGTCCAGGGTGGCCTCCGTGTAACAGGAATGAGCAGAGTTTGAGAGTCCTGGCTCAAAATCTAGCTCTCCTGCTGGTATAGTACCCAGCCTTATGCAAGTCACTTCATTTCTCCAAATTTCAGTCTCTTATGCAAAACAGGACCAGTTAACAGTATCTACTTCATAGGGTCACTGTGAGAATTAAATGGAATAATTTAGGAAGTGTGTAGCTCTGGGGCTCCCTGGCACTACTCTGGAGTCAAATGGTAACTATGGGATTCCTAAAATATATAGCTGTAACTATGGATTGTTGCTTTATTTTTTTTTGGTACCGGGGATCGAATTCGGGACCTTGCGCTTGCCCAGCAGGCGCCGGAACCATTGAGCTAAATCCCCGGCCCACTTGTTGTTTTTTTAATGGATGTGCCTTATTTAAAGCAGATTCTGCCCTCCCATTCACCAATCACTGCCTTGTTATCCACTGATTTCCTCCAGAGCATTTGGCACTGAAATTATCTCCTTTATTCCTATTTCCGTGTTATGGTCTATCTCTCCATTAGAACGCAAGAGCCTTAAGAGTGGGGATTTGTTGGCCTTATTCGCTGTGGTGCTGGCGATTGGCTTGCAGTCGATGCTCAGTAATGTTTGTTGAATATAATGTACGTTCCGGAGCCACTTTTCCTAATCTGCAAAATGGAAATAACGATGGCGATAAAGCCCTCAAGTCTGGCTGTCAGAAATTAAGGACAGTGGGACCATCAGCAATTTTTACTCCGACTCCAATGCACTCACAAAAGGGAGACCCCTGGGTACCAGAGCCAACCCTGGATAGGCTGAGGGATCTAAACCCAGCTGCCTCTGGGGTGGCCGCCACTGTAGGGAGGCGACAGGGAAGTGGGTCTGACAGAGACTAGCAGGAGACGGGACCCGCCCCCAAGGGCGGAGGAGGAAGTGGCCCTGACAGAAAAAATGAGAAGCTGGATCTAGAGAAACGAGAAATAAAAAGCACAGCCCTTGGCTTCCGGCTCTAGCGAGATTCTGAGAATCCTGCCGGTCAAGGGACTGGGACGGCGAGAAGGGCGAGGTAGGGCGGTGGCGGCCTCCTCCCTAGCGCCGGCCGCTGGCCCACTCTGTCCGCGCCCCGCAGCCCCCAAAGCCAACACCCCAAGACGGCTCTGATCCTACAGGAACCAGCCTCTTCCCTAGCTTCCCCCCTTCTCAGACTCCCCACTTCCTTTCCGTCTTCTTCAGCCCGCTTCTCTCAGCGCACCCACGACTTCCCGCCGCTCTCCCCAGTCCCAGCCGTCTCCTCACACCTCAGGATCAAACGCTTACCGGCATTTTAGCTGGGCCGAGGCTTCAACAGTGAGGAGTAGGACTTGGTTAGAACACGACCCTTTCGGTCGGGGGGCTCAGGCGCAGTGGGCGGAAGTGAGCCGGAAGGGGAGGAGACAGGAGGAGGAAGCCCTTCCGGTCTTGCGGTCACGGCGCTGGCTGCTGCGGCTGCGCGGATGTGAAGGAGCGCTAGGAGGCGCACGATCACGAAGCACAAGTTGTGAGGCTCGCGCATGCGTAAAACGGGTGCGGAAGGGAGGTGGGTTCCGGTCCTATGGACCCCTGGTGATTGAGCACTTCATTTTTCCTTAAAGTTCACCTTTTCAGTGACCCATTCCCTGGACTGTTTTAAATTCTACCCCTCCTCGGCCCTCTGTCGTCTTCTTTCCCGGTTCCTCCCTTAGTTTACTTCTGGTGTTTCTCTACCGGTTCCCCATCCATGTGAATGTCAAAAAGGCAGGATTTGTGTCCGTTTTTTCAGGGCTGTCTCCCTCACGTCTGTGTCAGTGATGGTACATGGTCAGGATCAGCAAATAGACAAGTGAATGAATGAATCCAACCCACTGCTTTTTAAAACGGGAAAATAGTGGAGCACAGCAAAGCAGGAATTTGTACATTCTTGTATTGCCATTCTTTGCATAGCGGTTGAGGAAATAAGACACTAGGTCTGATTCCTACTTCCAACATATACTAGCTGTGCAATTCTGGGCAAGTTAATTCATGTCTCTGTGCCTCAGTTCACCTAAAAATGACAATATTTACCTCATTTTGTGAAGATGAAATGAACTACATGGAAAGTATAGAATTTACATGCCTGGAGAATATTGAAAACTCATTACTAGAAACACCTCATGTGAAAAGCTGTTTATTATTGCTTCTGTGCCATTTTTGTCTCTAGTCCTGCAGACTGGAATATTCTGGATCCTATTTCCACATCTGAGCTGGGCATGGTGGAACACATCTGTAATCCCAGCACTTGGGAGGCTGAGGCTGGAGGAATGCTGCAAGTCCAAGGCCAGTCTGGACTACAGAGCAAGACCCTGTCTCAAAGAACAAAATAAACCTATTTCCACATTTGAGTTCTCATTTAGCCCCCTGGCCAAACAGCACTAAAAGAAGAGGCTTTTTTTGTGTGTGGTACTGGGCATTGAGCCTAGGGCCTTCACAAAGCTGTATTTTCAGCCCTTCCTAAATTTTTTTTTTGGTACCGGGGATCGAACTTGGATCCTTGGGCTTGAGCAGCAGGCATCGAAACCACTGAGCTAAATCCCAGGCCCTCCTTCCTAAATTTTTTTTTTTTTTTGGTACCAGGGATTGAACTCGGGACCCTGCGCTTGGGAGGCCAGCACCAGAACCACTGAGCTAAATCCCCGGGCCCTCCTTCCTAAATTTTGACACAGTCTAAGTCACTAAAGTGCCCAGGCTAGCCTTCAGTTTGTGACCCTCCTGCCTCATCCTCCCAGAGTGCTGGAAGTGCAGGCCTGCACCGTCACACCCAGCTAGAAGAGGCCCAGAGTACCCCTTAGTCACTCCACTTTATTACCTTTTTCACCTCCTACCCTTCAGCAGGTGAATGAAGTGTTTACTAGGAAGTCGGCCCCATCTGAGTAAGGCCTTGTCTGTTGTGAGCATTCTTTCCTGTCCAGTGCCTGGCATCCACAGAACCTCAATGAACTGTGTTAAACTCATTAAACTCATATCAGACAGTAAAGTCCCTGAGGCCTGGAAGGTCAGATTCTTTGAAGCCCATGTCCACAGGGAGAGGCAGCAGAATTTGGCTCATTTCCTCCCAGGGGGACATACTAGGTTCTCCAGAAGCTAAAGCAAGGAGGTACAGCCTAGGGAGAAATGAAGAGGGCAAGAGAAGTTCTTTATCTCCCCAAATACACTAACACTGGGCGATTGGGGTGTCTCCACCCTTTCATTTTCTGAGGGCCACAGGAAGTCCCCAAGCAGCCCTGGATAGTTCCTCATGCTCTTCTCTGATGGGCACTGGTGAGATAACAGCTCACACCACCACTCAGTGCTGTGGACACCTGGCAATTTCCCTCCTCCAGGTTACCACACAAGCCACCAGTGATGCCCTTGGTGCCTCATTTTGCTTCTTTAATTAAAATGGATCAAATTTTTTTTGGTACTGGGGACCTTGAGCTTGCAAGGTAGGCATGGTGCCACTGAGCTAAATCCCCAGCTAAAATGGACCAAATTTGACACTGCAGCTGGACTTCTGCTATCTAGGCCAAAGAACGATGAAAGCTGAACCCAAGTTGCAGGGTTTCTGTGAGGGCTTAATCTGTGCAGGCGGCAGATCAGTGAGCAAATGAGCACTGGAGGCTGAGGCCTGTGTGATGATTAAAGGAAAGAGCTGATGTAAAAATGTTTAACACAAGGCCTGGCAGTACTTAAGGATTTCTTTTGCATTTTGGTGCATATTACTCAAGGAATGGATAAAGTTTTAAATGCTCAGACTGCATTTTATTTTATTTTATTTTTGGTATCGGAGATTGAACTCGGGTCCTTTTGCCTGCGGGGTAGGTGGCAGAACCACTGAGGATCCCTGGCCCGAGACTGCATTTTAAAAACAACATGGCCTACATTTTGATACTTAGGAAAATTTACGCATTCAAATCTTTGCTTGGGCTATGAATTTCAAATTCTGCCTGGGAAACAAGAGTGTAATGATAGTTTAGTGCTGCCCTTCTGTTTCTTTCCTATATACACATATATCTCAAAATAGTTATTTTAATTTTTTAATTATACAAATAATAAATTTTCAATGTAGAAAAATAAAAAGATACAGATAGGCAATGGTGTTATCTATAACTTTTCAAATTTTTTTCCTTTGGAGATAGATAAATACCTAATTTTGTTAACATAATTTGTGCCTCTCAAAAAAAAAAAAAATCTAGCCATAAAAATAAAGTTCGACTAGCCTTAGATATACAGAACAGGTACTAACCTATATTATATACAAACCTATCTGCACTCACTTTAATTTTTTTTCTTTTGGTGGCAGATTAAACTCAGGGCCTTACACCACAAGCCAAGCATCCTCTACCACTGAGCTATATCTATTGTCCTCATCTGAACTCTGATTTTTAAAATCTAAATTGATAAATCAAGTGTGGTGGCCCACACCTGTAATCCCAGCACTTATGAGGCTGAGGCAGGAAGACTGCCATGAATTCTAGCCTGGTGGATTACACAGTGACTTCAAGGCCAGACTGAACTACATAAAACCTAAAAAGAAAAAAATAATTAAATTGATATGATTAGAATCCCACTAAAGATTACAGCCCCCCTCCCCCTTGTGGTACTGGGAATCAAAGCCAGGGCTCTGCATGTGCTTCATGGTGTTCTTCCACTGAGCTCCTCTTCCAGGTCTAAAAGATTCCCCTTAAACAGAAGCAGTTTCAGAATAACTTATAACTTGATCCAGGGATGCTCCTGGCAAAGAGCCAAGTATTCCTTTTTTCTTAAAATAAGCAGCTTTCTACTACTGCCTCTTTTGAAGAGAATATTCTGCTTATTTGGCCACAAGATCTTCATACATATATATGGTGACATTTAGTAAACGTTTCATTCATTCTGGCCTTCTTGGAAATATTCATCAAACATAGAGGAAGACTCATCTTCATGCTCCTGACACAAAGGAAACAAAACAAGATATATTCACTACTCCCAGTTAGACAAGTGTTGCACACCATTCAGGGAATGCTTTCTATGCAACTAATAAAGCCAGTACCAGCTCCAGGTACTGACCATTGGTAAACTGTTGATGGCGAAGAAAGAGGCATGATGGATAGCCTTTTTCCAGAGATATTGTAAACCACTGTGCTTATATCTCATCTCAAGCATTTTACATAGAAAATGACTCTTGGCCAACTTGCTTTGCTAGTGCTCTCCTGACGACTGTCATCAGTCACCCCATGGACATGTGTGAGAGCAGCCAATTTCAAATGGATTTCACCTCCTCTTTGCACAGAACCCCAAGCTGCAAGCCCAGAGACTTAACTCACTGATATCACCTCAATACAAGGTAGAGGGAAGTTGGACACAGGTATAAGTCTCAGACATTATCCAGAAAAGCCCAAGTAATCGCCACCATGACAAAAAACTAATTTAAGGAGTTGCCTGGATTATGAAGGAGGCTGCCAAGTGCTGGCAGATATTTTCCCCAAAGCCAATAAAAACCTCAAATCAGAAATTACCTTTGGTTCTTTAAATTCCAAGTCTTCCCCATACTGAATGGCAAAATCAATATGCTGTAATACGATGTTCATGGTTTCTTCATCTGACTGATCATAAGGTAAAAAGCGAACCATGCTGTAGTCATCAATCTATGAGTTGGGGATTTCAAGAAAAGTTCGTTCTGAAGTTGTGGAAAATACATAATTTTCAACGTAGATCTGAGTTTTTGTTTTTGTTTTGGTACCGGGGATTAAACTCAGGTCCTTGCACTTGTGGGGCAGGTGGTGGATCCACTGAGCTAAATCCCCAGCCCAGATCTGAGTTTTATAACCATTTATACTTCTGCTTAAAAACATTTGTGTCTGGCTGGGGATTTAGCTCAATGGTTCCACTGCCTGCCTTGGAAGTGGAAGGACCCGAGTTCAATCCCCAGCACCAAAAAAAAAAAAAAGAAAAAAAGATTTGTGTCTTTGGAGTAGAGGCAGAGGAGAGGTAGCCAGAGACAGAACACCAACAAATCATTATTGATTTTCTGGCCTCTGACCCTTCAGAACATTCACTGGCTCTTTACTGTGACAGACTGTTCCATGAGTATTTATCTGAATTCAACACCAGCTAGAAATGTCATAAAGGTACAAACAGTTCAGAGCTGTCCAAATGGCTTGAAATAATAACATGTTAATTTATTGGCCTGCCATTAACTACTTTTTTATTTGTTTGTTTGAGACAGGGTCTCACTATGTAGTTCAGACTGGTTCTGAACTTACTATGTAGCCCAGGCTGGCCTCGAACTTGTGGCAATACTCCTGCCTCAGCCTCCTGAGTGCTGGGATTACAGGCATGTGCCATCAAGGCCTGTGACAATAACTACTTCTAAGTTAAACTTCTTATGGTCCACTCAGTCCCTGGCCACCTCCCTCCTCTTTGCAGAACATTGCGCTGGACTGTGCCTCTTGCAGAGGTGGCCACTGACTGGATGTGGGCAAACACTTTGAGTTATTTAGGGGGAAAAAAAATCCAAAACTGCATTTCAAAAGCTTACCAGTCCACATACAGCTTTAGTCAATTTTTTGAATTTTTTGCTTCGTAGGTCACTCGTTGAATCTTCTAACAAAGAATACATATCTGGATCTAGAAACCTTTAAAAGTGAGAAAAGACTAACAAATAAAAGGAAGAACAAATCAGCAGCTGAGAACTGACGGTAACGGAAGAATAGCGAACTCACTTCTCAATTTCCTTTTTAGCTTTCTTACTCAGCAGATCCATTTTCGTCATGATGTTAACTTGTGGGATTTCTAAAGAGACCATGGCGCTCAGGGCTGCCAGGATGCCAGATATAAACTGAAGGAAGAAACAGAAAAGAGATGAGTTAGTTGTTGGCAAAAAAAAGTCTTCAAATAAAGGGCCTTCTACTCCTCCTTGGAAGAGAAGTGGCCCAAGTAAAAGAAATGCTAGCTGGGCGTGGTGGCCAAGCCTGTAATCTCAGCCTTTAGGAGGCTGAGGCAGGAGGATCGCTTGGAGTTTGAGACCAGCATAGGCTACATAGTGAGTTCAAAGTCAACCTGCACTACAAAGCAAGATCTGCCTTAAAAAAGAAAAAAAAAAAAGAAAAGAAACCACCAGAAATGCTGAAATTATAGAAAAAGAGGAGGGAAGATGTAGATTTAAGCTCCAGTGATTACATATCTGCACTTGATCTAGCCAAAAGGCCGAGAAGCAATGGGATTACATATCTGGATTTAGACAGCACTGTTAATCACTCTTCCCATCTAATACCTTCAAGAGCTATTTGTGAGAAATGAAATTGGATTTAGATAGTTTGTAAACTGGACAAAAGGTCCTCAGCAAATTAAAAACACTTATTTTTATTAACATACTCTATATATTTCATTTATTTATTTTTGAGACAGGGTCATACTATGTGGCCCAGGTTGGCCTTGAAATCACAGTGATCCTCTCCTGCCTTAGTCTCTCGAGTACTTGGACTACAGGCGTGCATCATCATGCCTGGTTGGCCTCTCTTTTCCTCCTGCCCCCTGCCATATGTATTTTTCTTTTTTCTTTTTTTAAAAACAAGAGTTTCACTGTGTCGTTCAGGTTGGCTTTGAACTCATTATGTAGGCCAGGCTGGTCTTGAACCTGTGGCAATCCTCCTGCCTCAGCCTCTGGAGTGGTGGGATTACAGGTATGCACCACCATGCTCAGCATCTGGCCTCTATATTTTATTTTTTTATTGGTACATTTTAGATATACATAATAACATTCATCATAGGGAATTTATACCTGGACATAATGTATCTTGTTTCTTTGTTTGCCATTCCCCTCCCCTCCCTTCAAACCCTCTTCCTTCATTTACAAAAGCTGTTACCATTTTTGTCTTTTTTCCCTTGTCCCTTCCTTTCTTATTCCCCCTCCCTTGTTCCCCTTCTCACTTGAATATTTTCTTCCCATTTCCCAATATCTATTATACATTTTGGTCCTTATTTCCACTTCTGGTTTCTCATACCAGAGAAACAATGGGGTATTTAAACACGTGTGTCTGATTTATTTAACTTAAAAGAGTATGGTCTCAAGGTGTATGCATTTAGCTAGAAACGTCTCAAGCTCATCCTTTATGGCAGAGTATAAAAAAGCTATTGTATAAAAAAAACACATCTTCCTTATCCATTCATTGGTATCAACCATTGGTATCACATCTGGGCTGTTTCCAAGATTTAGCTATAACAAACTGTGCCGCTATAAACATAGGTGTGTATATATTGCTATGGTATGCTTTTAATTCTTTCAGGAAGGTATCAAGAAGGGGAATAGCTGACTCAAATGGAACCTCTAGTTTTAATTTTTTAAGGAATCTCCACACCGATTTTCACAGTGGTTGCACTAGTCTATACTCCCACTAACAGTGGAAAAGGGTTCCTTTTTCCCCATATCCCTGCCAGCATTTTTTATTGGTTGATTTCTTGATAATAGTCATTCTTTATGGAGATGGAACCTCAGTATTATTTTAATTTATATCTCTTGAATAACTAGTGATGTTGAACATTTTTTCATATATTTATTTGCCATTTCTATTTCTTCATCTGTAACCCATTGGTTGTTCAGGAGGGTGTTATTTAATTTCCATATGTTTATGAAGTTTTTGTGGTTTCTTTTGCCATTGATTTCCAATTTCATTGCACTACGGTATGATGATATGCATTGGATAATTTCAATTCCTTTGCATTAATTAAGCATGTTCTGTGAGCTAGTATGTGGTCTATTTTGGAGAATGTCCCATGTCCAGCTGAGAAGAATGTGTATTTTTTTTTTTTTTTGGTACCGGGGATCAAACTTGGGACCTTGCGCTTGCGAGGCAGTCGCCAGAACCACTGAGCTAAATCCCCGGCCCAAGAATGTGTATTTTGATGTTGTGGGGTGGAACACTGTAGACATCTACTAAGTCTATTTACTCAATGGTTTGGTTTTAGTTCTGATATTTGTTGATTTTTTGTCTAGTTTATTTATTTGTGACAGTGGAGTATTCAGGTCCCATTACAACTGAATTAGTGCTTGATTTTCCATGTCTGTTAATATTTATTTTATGTAGTTTGATGCGCTGGTATTTGGTGCATATATATTTATGATTATTATCTCTTCCTCTTAGATTGTTCCCTTTACAGGGATGTAGTAACCTTCTTTGTTTCTCTTAATCAGTCTTGGCTTGAAATCCACACTGTCTGCAAACAGAATAGCTACCCTGCTTTTTTCCAAGTTCCTATCCCATGGAGTATTGTTTTCTAACCTTTGACTTTCAGTCTATGAATTTCTTTTTGAAATAAATTTGTTTCTTGTATGCAGCATATTGTTCAATCTGGGTTCTTGATCCATTCTGACAGTCTGGTTCTTTTCATTGGTGAATTGAGACCATTTAGGTTGATGGTTATATCTGATATGTATTGGCTTATACTTATCATGTTATTTTCCTCTTGTTGGTTCCTGTTTCCCCCCCCCGTTTAATTACTTGCTTTATTTATGGTGGATTTATTCTGTTGGGGTTCATGGAGTTGTAGTCCTTGTTATCTCTTTCTAGAATGTCCTTCAGAACATTTTTGGAGTGCTGGTTTGGTGGTCATGAATTTCTTCAGGTGTTCTTTTTCATGGAAATATCTTATTTCTCCCTCAATTTTGAAAGTTTTGCAGGGTACATCAATCTGGGCTGGAGGTCGTTTTTTCTGGGCTTGAAATACTTCACTCCAAGCTCTCCCTAACTCAAGGGTTTGTGTTGAGATTTGTTGTGATTCTGATGAGGTTCCCTTTATAGGTGATTTTTTTCCCCCTCTAATAGCTTTTAATATTTTCTTCTTGTGTTGAATTTCTGGAATCTTGACTATTCATTCTAACAATGTAGATTTTTTGTTTTTGCATTACTGAGGATTAAACTCAGGAACTTGCACTTGCAAGGCAGGTGCAGTGCCACTGAGCTAAATCCCCGGCCCCTAATGTAGATTTTTTTTTATCATGGCTAACTGGAGTCCTATATGCCTGACTTACGTGTATGTCAAATTCTTTTTCCATGCTTGTGAAGTTTTCTGCCATTACTTCTGTAAACAGGCTTTTTAAGTTGTTTGCACTGTCTCCTGCTTTCACTGACACTGATCAATCTTGTTTTTCTTCTTTGCATCATCTAGCAGCTGTTGGATTTTTCATGGTCCCTTTCTATTTTTAAGAAATCTTTTTTTTCATGATCACTTATCAAAATACTGTCTTCTGTATCTGACATTCTTTCCTCACATTGGCTCATTCTGCTGTGAATACTGTCAATGGAAATTTTTGAGGTTCTTTTTGGTACTGGGGATCGAACTTAGGTCTTTGCGCTTGCAAGGCAGGCAGCGGCACCACTGAGCTGAATCTCCAGCCCTTTCAATGGAACTTTTAAACTCCTGGATATGTTTGAATCTGTTTCATGGATTTCATTTGTTTCCTATGTCGGGTGTTCATGGTTTCCATTATTTTCCTAAGCTCTTCTAATTTTTTAAAAACTATCTGTATCTGTTCTAGAATCACTAACCATGTCTTTCATTATGGTAATCATCTCTGTAGTTATCTGAGAAATTCAGAGTTCTGAGGTCAGTTGGTCCCTCTCCAAGATGGCTACCAGACAATTGCCCTCTCCTGGGGGGCATTTGAGACTGAATAACTCAGCAGCCACTGCAGTCTGTTGCATCCATTGCTACATTCCACTGGTGTGTTTCTCCATGGAGGCCTCTGGCACTGCCAGAAGTCACTTTGTGTCTTCAGGTTTTAGCTGCACCTCCCATGCAGTAAATCAGGGCTCAAGGAGAAAGCACTGCTTGCCACCTCCTTCTTCTACATTGAGGTCTCTCTCTTCATCTTCCTTCAGATCTTTGCTGGGTTCTGGGGACCCACTTCCCACAGTCTTCTCATGTTCTACATTCCAGAGTCTAGACACCAAATCTTGGAGAGGCTGTTTCTCTGCTGTTCACTGCTTCACCATCTTCCTGGAAGTCCACCTACAGTTTTGGTTTTCTTTTTAATAATTTTTTTGTTTTGTTTTGTTTTGTTTTTTTGGAGACAGGGTCTCACTAAGTAGTCCAAACCAGTCTTTAACTTGTGGTGATCCTGCCTCAACCTGCTGAGTGCTGGGATGACAGGCATGTGCCACCATGCCTGGCTGATGATTAGTTTTGAATGCCCATCATGTGTCAGGTCTCCTGGCCTCTATATTTTAAAAAATACCACCTACCTCAATTTTTTCTTGATAAGCAGGTTCTCAAAATCTGTATGATATCATCATTTACTACTTTCAAGTTAAAATGTTAGCATAATTCAATAACAAGGGATACTAAATCACTGAAATAGTCTGGTGAAATGTCCAGAATCACACAGTAATTAAAGGAGACTGTTTTCTGCTTGTACCCATCATTGAAAAATCAACAAAAGATTTATCCTCATACCTTAAAGGACTCTACCATGAACTGGGAATCAACAAGGAACACACCACAGACTCGGAACTCCCACTGTTCCAGCTGCTGGACCAGCTGTTTCATCACAGGCAGGTGAGTGTACAACTCGATCTGACCTACGTGATGAACATCACAAGAATGGGACAAACAGGAAATAGGTTAAACATCAAACAGAGAACAGAAATTTTCCCCCTAAGATGATGGTGGAAAAAGAATTGGAGATCACTTCTTTGTAATAACGTACGCAATTTTTATAGGGCCTTCCAGCCTCTCAAATCAATCATAAAACCTAAGGTAATGCCACCATGAGAATCTCAAGCCAACTACCCAGTCTAATGTAGAAAATGAAGCTCCTCACACTACATAGTTTACCAGTCAAAAGTGAGTACTGAGCCTGGGAATATAGCTCCATAAGACCTTGCCTGGCACACCCAGCTCAATATCCAGCATTATGGGGAAAAAAGGCAAGTACTAGAATACTACAAAGGGTTGTGCAGTTTGGAAATACTCACCAAACCCTACATTTATGATGTATACACTTACTGCAAGTATATCTATGTTCAATTAGAAACAAAGGGGAGAAACAGATGAGGGCCATAAATGATTAGCTAGGTTAGGCTCAGGTCTTAAGAAACCATCCGGGTGCCGGGGATTTAGCTCAGTGGTTCCTGTGCCTGCCTTGCAAGCACAAGGTCCTGAGTTCGATCCCCATAGCCCCCCAAAAAAGAAACCATCTGTAATTACCAGACTCACCATATGGCATTTTCCTCCTTGGTCACTGTGCTCCAGCCACTCTGCCCTTTGCAGTGCCTCAAACCCTCCCGTTCCTGGCTGCTCAAGGCCTTCGGCCTGCTGTGCCCTCTGCCTGGACCACTGTCTTTTCACTTTTGCCCCATGGCCCAGCTTAATGGCCACCAGATCTGAAGCCTCTCTAAGCTCCCTGCTTCATGACAGTTTGTTACTTCTGTGGGATGCTGGTCACAAATGAATATTAAGTCATCATGGAGGTGATTTTGTTTACATTCATGCGCTCTGTGGACTGTGAGCTCTGTGATGGCAGAGACCATGGCTCCTTCACTCTCTATGGTATTCCCTCAACAACCTCAGTGGATGAGTTTAAGACTTTGGCACCTTACTGCACTACAGTCTAGAGCTATAAATGCTCACCACACCTTCTTCCACTGAGAACACAATTACATCTTCAAGGAAAGCAACACATATTCACATTCCTGACTTGCCTGGACAGTCGAAAAGGATGTAGTCATCTTCCACATGGCCAAGACAGTTCTCTAGCCAGTCAAAATTATTGGCAAAATACTCCATGCAAAACACCAATCCTCCATTGGGACCGAACCGCAGAGAGTCATCCTCCATCACATCATCTACCTCAATCAGTTCCCGGATATCTGAAAGGGACAGACAGGGCCGAGAATAGAACTATTCACTTGAAACTTATTATCCTCTCCCATAATAACAATTATATAAAAACTCACATGTATGAAATTATTTATGTACTTTTGACTGTAGTAGTGTTAATGAACAAGGAACTGACCAATAAATTATTATATAGCCAGACATTGTACAATGGAGTACTATTTAGCCACAAAAAGGGGAAAGTGCTTTAAGGACTAATACAATCTCCCATATATAAATAATTAAGTAAAAATAAATGATTGCCAGGGATTTAGCTCAGTGGTTCCGCTGCCTGCCTGGCAAGCACAAGGTCCTGAGTTTGATCCCTGGTACCTAAATAAATAAATGGTGCAGAAGTCTGCAAGAATACCATCAAGTGGTGCATGCCCACAATCCCAGCTACTCAGGGTTGAGGCAGGAGGACTGAAAGTTTGACCCCAGCCTTGGCAACTTAGTGAGATGATGTCTTAAAAAGGGATGGGGGGCCAGGGATTTAGCTCAGTGGTTCTGCCGCCTGCCTTGTAAGCGCAAGGACCCGAGTTTGATCCCCCGTACCAAAAAAAAAAAAAAAAGAAAAAGGGATGGGGATTCTGGGGATATAGCTCAGTGACAGAGCTCCTTGGCGTTTGATTTTCCAGTACTAGAAAAAACAATGAATCATATGTCTTAAAAACAAAACAGAAAAACAAAAATTCAGTAGACACCCGTAATAAATATACGTCCTGGATTTTATATGCACAGACCATCTTTGGAAGGACACACCAGAAACTGTTAAGAGTGGCTTCCTCCAGGGAGGAGATCTGAACGTTGGGGAACAGAGCTGGGAAGGAGACATTTTCCAGCACAGGCTTAGTCTTTTGCATTTTGAACCATGTGAATATGTACTATTAAAAAAAAAAAAGCCGGGTGTGGTGGCACATGCCTGTAATCCCAGCACTTGGGAGGCTGAGGCAGGTGGATCACTGAGTTTGGATCACTGAGTTTGGATCACTGAGTTCCGATCACTGAGTTCCGATCACTGAGTTCGAGGCCAGCCTAGGCTACATAGTGAGTTCAGGGCCAACCTAAACTACAAAGGGAGAGACCCTGCCTCAAAAAAAAAAAAAAGTGGCCGGGGATTTAGCTCAGTGGCACCACGCCCGCCTGGCTCAAGGTCCTGAATTAAAATCCCAGAACCAAAAGAAAAAAAAAGTGAAAACAATGAAAGCTATGGTTTTGTTTTTGTACCAGGGATTGAACTCTGGACCTTGACCTTGCCAGACAGGCAGTCAAGGTATTGTCTTTTAACATGATGATCCTAGGGAAGCTACTTAACCTCCAGAGCCTCACTTTCCCTTTTATAAAATGGGAAGTGGGGTGAGAATCATACATCCTTGGGTAGAAGGATGAAAATTAACATAAATCATCTATAAGAGGGGCTTAAAAATTCTGGAATATTTATGGTTCTCAAAAATTTTTGGAAATCAGTATTTAGATATTAGGTTTTTGTTTTGTTTTGGTACTGAGTATAGACTAAGGGCCTCATGGCTACTAGGGAAGGGCTCTACCACTGAACTACATCTCCAAGCCTTTTAAAATTTTATTTTAAGACAGGGTCTCACTATGTTACCCAGGCTGGCCTCAAATTTATGATCCTCTTGCCTCAGCCTCCTGATTAGTTGAAAGGACAGCCCATGCCTGGCTCTACCTTAGATTTTTATTTATATTTCTACCCAAATCTATAATCTTTGTCATAGGGAACTGGGCTTCATTCACAGGCATATTTACACTGATATTCCATTCCTACCCTTCCTCCAAGGATAAATAATGATCCACGCAGGGACAATAAAATTGGTCTTCTAGAAGGATGAACCAAAGACATTGGTCAGTTGGTAAAACACCTCAACCAGAAAATGATGTAAACCTGGGTACCTTACCAGGCCACACACAAACTAAAGCAAGAAAAGAGAAAAGAGCAGAGATAGACAGAAAGCAGGTTTTGGTTCTTGCTAGTTTTTATGTTTTGGAGCCTAGATTCTCATAAAAATCTTGTTCTTGGGTTTTGTGAGAGGCTCTGAGTCTATCCAGTATATCTTTCCAGGCTGGTTTCAAATTCACGATCCTTCTGCTCTAGCCTACCAAGTACTAGGATTACAAGTGTGCACCATATAGTTTGGCTCTAGTATCTCCTCCTCTCCAACCAGCCTTTCCCCAATCCACCCACTTTGAGATAAGAACCACACCCACCATTATCAGAAATCAGACTTGACTACCAACACTGCTAGCAAAGGCAAGACCCTCCCAGTTCAGGTCTCCTTTCCTTTCTCACACTTGAGGTTTTTTTTGTACCGGTGATTGAACTCTGGTCCTTGTGCCTGCGAAACCACTGATCTAAATCCCCGGCCCTCTTGAGGTTATTTCTAATCTCTTTGACATCTTCAGTATCATTTTCTTTTTTGTTTGAAGCAGGGTCTCACTATGTGACCTAGCTGGTCTCAAACTCCTGGGCTCAAGTGATCCTCCCATCTCAGCCTTCTGAGGAGCTGAGACTACAGGCACGCGCCATCCTGCCTGGCCTCACCTGGCATTTGTGAAGGTATATTTTCCTCCTTCCTTTCTGATGCCACTCCTCTACTGGACCTCTGAAGAAGAAACAACTTCAAGGTTCAGTCTTGGATTCCTCTTCTCTAACCACACTCCTTTCCCTATAAGCTCATCGAGACCTGGGGCTTTATGTATCTAGGTATAAAGGACCCAGATATAGTATCTTTGCTGGGGCCAGGGATTTAGCTCAGTGGTTCTGTCACCTGCCTTGCAAGTGCAAGGTCCCGAGTTCGATCCCTGGTACCAAAGGAAAAAAAAAAACTGCATCTTTGGGATGTGAGTAGTTTCTACTTAACTTTATTCTTTTTTGCTTGAACTAGCTTGAGTACCTTCTGTGTACTGCAATCAAATTAGTTTTAGTATAGATTTACTACAGTAGGACTAAGCAAGAAAGGAGCAGAAGGGAAGAGAGGTAGGGGAGGAGTCTACTCATTATAAATCCTACGTGAAAAACCAAGAAAGGATACTGTCACACATCCCCATGAATACGCAGCATTAAATGACATTCACCCTCGTGAGGTTCACCACGAACCAAGGGACTAGAGTCTAACAGTTTTTGAAATTTTTCAGTTTCTCTGCCTAGAAGCTAGCACTCCCTGCCTTCTCCACCCTTGCCCTTCATGAGGAGAAGGCTCTGCCAGGACTTACCAGCCATCACAGGGTAGTTGAAGTGTTCTGCTGCCGGATCTAGGTTGACCACCTGGACAGACCGGTTGAGGGCTTCACAGTGCTGGACCACGGTGGCACAGTAGGTGCTCTGTAATGCCACAAGGCATGTGGAGTTAGATCACGCGGTGCAATGATATTCTCTGTACACCTAGAAGGTATCTCCACATTCTTTGGAGCAGTATCCACTAAAGCCAAGCCACTGGCTTCATAACCAAAAGGCTGGCTGAAAATGAGACAAAAGACACTGCCTGGGTTGTAGCTCCAGACTTGCCTTGAACTCATAGGAAACGCCATGGAAGCTGCTTCCTCTCTGGCCTTCAATTTTCTGTCTCTAACTGGGTTGTCTTCTATGATCATTAAAGTTACTTATTGCTTTAACAATCAACAAGGGGAATTTAAAGGGAAGTGTTCTGGAGTTGAAAATGTAGCTTAGAGGCAGGGCTCATGCTTTAAAAGCATGAGGCCCTGGATTTGATCCCTAGCCTCAAAAGAAAAAAAGGAAAGACTTCTTTCAGTGTAGCACCCAACATGCAGTTCTTCTACTAGGACTTACAGAGTCCAAACAAAGCTTTAGGTAGAAGGGCCACGGTGATGTGTGATGTCTCTGAGTAGGGAGTATCTGAGCACATGGGAATATGCCTGTCAACCTAGGAAAACAGCACTCCAAAGAGGAAGCATCAAGGTCAATAAAATAGCCCACAGATGAGTTATCAGCTTGTCACTTCTGCTTTACAGAGCTCTTTACTCTTCAAGTATTCCTTACCACACAATGTTAAAATCCCTAAGCTACTTTTTTTTCCCCCTCAGTACTGGGAATCAAACTCAGGACCTTGCTCAGTGCTGCTGAGCTACATCCCCAGCCCTCTAAGCTACTTTTTGTCTCTTCCACCCACCCTGTTTAAAGACAGAGCTGTTATCTCAGTCTTTTTTCCTTCCAGTTAAAAGGATTGAACCCATGGCCTTTGCATTGAGCTACATTCCTAGTTCTTTATAAAAAATTTTTTTATTTTGAGGTAGGGTCTTTTTGCTAAGTTCCCAAGTTGTCCAGGCTGGCCTTGAACTTTGGATGCTCCAGCCTCAGCCTCCCAGAGTTCTAGGATTACAGGCCTGCACCACCATGCCTAGCTTCTCAATCAGTTTTATAACCCCAAGGACCAGCACAGTACCTGTTACATAATAAATGCTTGGTAATTATTTCTATCTGACTGACTTACTATGTTTAAACATAACATCCACAAGGACAAAGACTTTTGTTCACTACACAATCACAAGGGCTCAAATCAGTACCTGACATAAAGAACATTCTCAATGAGTATTTTTGGTAGTGGCCATCAAAAATTTTTAGATAGTTTTTAACACAATTCAAAAATTAATCTAGGGCCAGGGATTTAGCTCAGTGGCACCACACCTGCCTTGTAAGTGCAAGGTCCTCAGTTTGATCCCCAGTACCAAAAAAAAAATCTAGAATACAGATAATTTCCATCATGCTTCTCTCCTTTACACACATTATTCTCTCTGATTTGGAAGCCATCTCCGGGGATCATCCCATGTCTTAACAGAAAGTCATCTATCTTCTTAGACACAGGCTCTGAATAGGTAAAGGTCACTTAGTCACATGTGTACCTCTTGAATCTAGAAAGGTCAGTGGCTCAGAACGTGTTTCTTGAAGACAGATGCCACAGGACACATCCACAGACTCTAGTGTTTCCCACACGTCTGTGATTTGACCACTATCTTCACCATTTCTACTGTATTTGAGTGCTTCTAACATTATTCCTTTAGTATTTGTTTATAAGAGAAACTATCACTATTGTAAACAGAAACCAATTATGATTACATTTATCATAATATGAAGGTAACCATAAAATTATATACAACTTTTAAATGAATTTGTGTGTGTGGTACTAGAGATTGAAACCGGGGAGTACTTGGTGGTGCACACCTGTGGTCCCAACACTCAGGAGGCTGAGGCATGAGGTTGACTCAGGAGGTTGGCAAGTTCAAGGCCAGCCTAAACTATATAGTGAGGCCCTGCCTTTAAAAAAAAAAAAAAAAGCCAAAACCTCCCCACAAAACCCTACAAGTCCCCCCTCCCCTCAAAAAAACAGGGAGTGCTGAACTAAATTCCTAGCCCTTTTGTTGTATTTTGTTTTGAGGCCAGCTTTGAACTTGCAATCCTGCATCAGCTTCCAGAAGAGCTGGAATTACAGACATGTGCCACTGGGGACCTCTAAACTTTTAGCTAGGATTAAACTTTTAATCCTAGCTAAACAGAGTTTCCTATTAAAAGTCATGAGTCTAAAATCTGCTCTCTGAAAAGACTTGGGAATTAAATGTTGAAGATACACTAGAACCAAACAAATCTCACCTCACTACAAAGTGAAGAACTGAGAGAACTGAAAAGGGAACAACTTTCTCCATATATGATCCAATGATTTTTAATGTCAGCTCCATGTAGCACCTAATATCCACCACAAATACCAAAAGTCTATGTCCTAACCTCTGAGAACAGTAAAGGACAAGACTCCACGTTAACTTCCTGGGTGCTAAATAAGGTCTGATTCTGGAGTTAGACAAAAACTGGACTCAAATTCTGGCCGTAACATACTACCATGTGATCTTGGGCAGACACTTAACCCTTTCTTTTTGAGAATAGTAAGACCTATCTCACAAGGTGGTTGTGTAAATAAATAAGGCGTTGAGCGCAGTACCAATAAATATTACATTCCCCCCCCACACTTTTTTTTTTTTTGTACCGGGGATCGAACTTGGGACCTTGCGCTTGCGAGACAGGCGCCGGAACCACTGAGCTAAATCCCCGGCTCGAGTACCAATAAATATTAACAGCTATCGTAATTTTTCTTTCAAGCTAAAACGGGGCACGAAGGGCATAAGTGAGTTGCCCAAAGTCTCTGAGACCCACCCCAGTACACACACCCGCTGCCTTCTCAAGAAATGAACTGCTTCCCACTGCGATTTTTATCTCCTTACCTTCCCACTGCCTGCGGGGCCCATGACCAGCTGCGCATACCGGGGCATGTCGGCTCTCCAGGCCCCCGCTGCCGACAGCCACACTCCCTTCAGCCTGCGCGCGACACCCACCGAGTTCCGGGAACATTAAAGGTGAACCAATCACAATCCAAATCCCGTTTATGGCTCCAGTTCTGCCACACCCCTGACTACGGAGCGTTCCTTGGGCCAAGACAAATGAGAATCGGGTCCTGAAGAAACGATTGTCTGGTGGAAAAGATACGAGCATGTGCAAAAGTAGTAGCCGGAAACCCGCAGTTGAAGAAACTGGCTAAACCTGGTTGCTAGGGTGATAACGGACTTCCCGCAACGGACCGCTTCCTGGTGCTTTGGTCCTTGGTTTGTGTACTGAATTTTCACTTATATGTTGACACTCAAGATATGCAATTTGCTGAGGGTCTGGAATACTGACCCTTTTGTTTTAGGGAGCATGTATTTTTGCTTCCAATGACACATCTCTACCACCAAAAAAATCTCTTCCAACGTGCAATCAAACGAAGGACTCCCGCCCCTCCTCCACCCAGCGCCGGGGTCGCGGATCTGCCCGCCTCGCTCTCCCGAAGCGACGCGAGCAGTGTCCAGCGTCGCCTGCTCTTCGCCCGCAGCTCCCCGCCTGACGCACGCGTACTGACGGGGGAGGGCAGGGAGTGCTTCTGGCGCACACGGCTCGCGGTCGGGGCGCAGGGGAGATGCCGGGCCAGGGTCCTGAGTCCGACTGGACGGACAGCGGCTCTTTCGCGGAGCCGCCCGTGGTGGCCGGGGACGAGGGCGGCGGCGGCGGCGGCGGCGGGTGAGGCCGGGGCCCTGAGGGTGGGGGCGGGGCCCAGCCCGGGCCGAGACCCCCCGCAGAGGCGGGCGCTGCGGCAGCCCTCGCGGCCGGGTGCCGCACGCACTGAAGAGAACCGAGAGGGACCTGTGCCGTGGTCCGTGGCTTTTCAGGGAGGGCTTTGGAGGGAGCTCGGAGGCTTTGGTACAGAGACGAGACGCGGGACTGCGACAGTCGCCGGCGTGCGTCCTCCTGCGGCCCTAGGGGGCGCTGCGGGCCCCGCTGGGGAAAGCGCCTTCCCGCCCCCATCTCTGCGCGAATTCGGGACGGCAGGGAGCAGGGAGAGGGGAGACGTTCCCCAGCCAGAAGGAGACTCCCTGAGTCCTTAAGCCGATTTCCTCGATGGGGAAGAAAATTAGTTGCCGAAGTCATTGTCCTTGTTCCTTCCTTCCCTTGTTTCTAAAAGCGAGAGCTGCCGGGTATTTGCGGTCCCGTTCAGCCCACAGCCATGGCTCCTTCTGCAAACATGCCATGTTGTTGTTATAATACCTGATGCCATTGAAGACTTTTGTTTATCTGTAGTACTGGGGATTGAACCCAGGGTCTTCACACTGAACTACATCCCCAGGCCCTTTACAATTTTGAGACAGATCTCCCTAAAGTGCCCAAACCGGGCTCAAACGTGCCATCCTTTTGCCGCAGTCTCCCAAGTGCTGGGATTAGAGGCATGCGCCATTATAGCTGGTCCCATTGAAGACTTCAAAAATAGGTTGAGGTTCTGGTTTGTTTTTGTTACATTTGTTTAGTTTTCTGTTCTTTATGATGCTTGACAGAGTCCTGGATCCTGTCAGGAGATCAAGGAACTTATGGTCATTGAATAAGTTGGAGGAAGTGGGTTTTATTGCTAAAAGGATTTTAACAAAATTGGAAACAGTACAGACCAATTTATCAATTCCAGCACATCCTAATTACTCCTCAAAGGATAGTATTTCCAGTACTCATAGCACAGAAGCCCAAGCTACTTATTGAGCTCAAAGTAGTAATGAAATTAGGAAGCTATAAAAGTAAAACCAGATCTCGGTTAAAAATAAATCTTTTCTAGTGTGTTAAAAATCTCAGCTCACTTCAAAAAAGTGGAGCCATTAGTATGTAAGCAGAATTGTAGCAGAAAATTTGCAAGACATTTTGTCTGATAGAATCATGCAAAGTAAAAAGCTTATTCAATACCATCCCTTTTTTTGTTTGAAATATGTTGTTTAGTGCTTATAAAGCTATCAATTATTACGTATTATTTATATCTTTTTTTAACAGATCAGCTGGACAGTCTTATTACAATCCCAAAGGTACTGGTGAGTAGCACATATAAAGTAGATAATAGCTGTGAATAACAGGGTTGAGAGAAGCCAATTTGCCTGTACTATTTACACAATGGAGTTTTAAAATTCGACTTTATTAGCATCCTTGATAGTCTTTTTATTATTTTTTCAGTAATGGGAATGGAACCCAGGAGCACTCTACCACTGAGCTATATCCCTAGTTCTTTAAAAAAAAATTTTTTTTTCAACCTTTTGAGACAGAGTCTCAAATTGCCCAGGCTGGGCTTGAATTTGCTGTCCTTTTGCTTCTACCTCCTCAATACTGGGATTACAGGTGTATGCCACTGTGCCAGCTTACTCTTCAAGATTTTCAAAGAACAATTTGCCAGGTTCTTTCTCTTTTGTAAATAAGTCTCCTATCAACCATTTAAAAAATTAGCAGTGATTCTTAAAAAACACTGCTCACAATTGTTGGTTGAAAACCACGAGTACAGCCTTGGGCTTACACACAGATTGAAAGAAGAAATTCTGAGATAAACAGCTTCAGAGATCATAAAATATATCTCAGTGCTAATACTGTCCTCTCACTTAAAGGATAGAGCTAAATTCCTTTTCTCTGTTAAGAGTTAGGAGACAAAAACAAGCCCTTAAAGGCTTCTTGCTCATTTCTTTTTCTGGAGAAAGAGAAAGTAGTTTACTAACGTGTGTGTGTGTTTGTGTGTGTCTCCGTATGTGTAGTAGTATTTAGGTATAGTTACAGTTTTAAAATTTTTTTTTAAATTCAATGATATAAACCTGAATTCACTTTGCTTCCCCTTGGAAAAGCTACCTAGGGAAAAATACACACCCATATATGTATATAGATAGGCATAAATACATACATTCATGAATAACCTAATCATTTTTATAATGTGCTTTTTTAAAAAAGTTTATTTTTTAGTTTTAAGTTCACGGAAAAATTGAGAAAAGATGTAGAGATTCCCATAACCCCTTTGCTTCCACACATACATAGCCTCCCATTATTAACATTCCCCACCAGAGTGGTAGATTTGTTCTAATTGATGAGCTTATACTAACACACTTATACTTACATTAGGGTTCACTCTTGGTTTACATATAATGTGTTTCATTGGAGGTTTGTTCAGATTCCTCACTATAATTCTTAAACTATGTAAAAAAGCCTAATGAATTATAATTAAATGTAAAAAACAGAAAACAAAATTGGTATAAAATTGATATAATTAGCTGGACATGGTGGCACATGCCTGTACTCTCAGTACTCAGAAGGCTGAGGCAGGAGGATTGCTGTGTCTGGACTGGACTGGACTGGACTTCATAGTGAGTTTAAGGCCAGCCTTAATACATAGTGAGACCCTGTCTTAACTGAAGAAAAAAAAAGTAATTATTAAATCTAGATGTGGAAGGAGATAAATTTTTTTAACAATTATCAGTATATGAGATTCAAGAAAAGTTCCTAAATATCAAAAATGTAATGTTTACATACAGCAGAATCCTACTCAAGTAAAAACTCTGAAACATAAATATCTAAATACTTTGAAATAATTATTATTAGGTCTTGTTATTAGAGGTTTTATTTCCCTTATTCTGCACTTCTACAGTGGACGGTGTATGTCTGTATAATTGCAGGAAAAAAAGGCTACTTAACAAGTGCTTGTTTTCCTCTGTTTTGGGACTTAAGGTCTTATCCTATTATTTAACATACATAATACAGCCAACTCTTGGCAGAGAATCTAGTTTTTCCTCTGTGTCCTGTTTTATTGTTTTGCAACAGAAAGCCTTATTATTTATATCCTTTTTAACGGATCAGCTGGAATAGATCATGTTCCAATAATGACTAATATAGAACATAACTGAAAAGACTTGCCTATGCAAGAGGAACTAGTGTTTTGTAAATGGGAGACATGATCCTTTCATTTTAAACACAACTTGAGTCCTAGAAGCCTCTGAACTCTGTGACTAATGGAGCCCACTAATGACATCATGACCCCTGGTCCAGTAGTCAGCACATGGAGTCAGCATGTCGATGTTGAATGTAATCACAATGAGCCTCCTTTCTAGACCCTTCCCCACTCTCTATAGACAGATTTGGCCCAGGCAAAGGTGAGTGGAATATCTCAAAGGTCAGTGGTCCCTAACAATTAACATGATCCTCTTGGTTCCCAAACGTATGTACTACTTTATATTTGTTTTAATTTGGCAGGCTTCATGGCAATGTGTAAAACCCATTTTTCAGTAACTTATTTACTAACACTTTATTCCACCTAACAATAAACTACATTTCTAAAATGACTTTCTGAAAGTTCAAATTGACTTTCAGATTTACAGGAAAGTTGTAAGAATGAGTATCTTTTTTTGGTTTTTTTTGGTACCAGGGATGGAACTCAGGATCTTGTGCTTTCGAGGCAGGTGCGGTGCTACTGAGCTAAATCCCCGGCCCTGTAAGAATAGTACATTAGTACATAAAGTTCTGGGGTCCCTTCATTAAGATTGTCCCAGATGTTAATTATATCATCCATCCATCCACCCACCTACCTCCCTACCTATCTTGTATTTATTCTTAACTGTTTAAGGGTGAGTTGTAAATAGGATGCCCTCCTCCTTTTTTTTTTTTGGTACTGGGGATCAAACTCACGTCCTTGCGCTTGCACAGCAGGCAGCAGGCGGCGAAACCGCTGCGCTAAATCCCTGGCCCAGTGACCCGCCTTTTGAGACAGGGTCTCAATATGTAGTTCAGGCTGGTCTTGGGCTCACTATGTAGCCCCGAATGTCCTCCTGCCTTAGCTGCCTGAGTGCTGGGATTACAGACGTGTCCCACCACACCCAGCCAGGCAGGTGCAAAGTACATTTCCTTAAAAAAAAAAAAAAAAGAAACTATAGCTGAATGTGATGGTGGACACCTGTAATCAATCCCAGCACTCTGGGAAGCTGCGGCAGAGGACTGCAAGTTCAAAGGAAGCCTGGGCAACTTAGTGACTTAGTAACTGTCTGAAAAAAAACCTTTTTTTTTCTGGTACTGGGGATTGAACTCAGGACCTAGTGCTTGTGAGGCAGGCATGGCACCACTGAGCTATATCTCCGGCCCCAAAATGAAACTGCAAACTGAAATGTCAGCTACTGTAAGAATAGATATTTCTTTCTTTTTTGGGGGGTGCGGTATGGGGATTGAACTCAGGACCTTGTGCTTGCCAGGCAGGTGCGGTGCCACTGAGCTACATCCCTGGCCCTGAAAATTTTTTTTAAAAGGGCTAGGGATGTAGCCCAATGCAAAGCCCCTGGGTCCAATCCTCAGTACCACAAAAAATAACTATATTTGCAATTTCATGAAATAATCATCAAAGTCAAATGACATTTATTCCCCCAAATCTGAGTTCACACATGGTATTCAGTGGTCATATTTTTTAGCTGTGTTTGTGTTTCATGACACTGACATTTATGAAGAACACAGGCCAGCTCTTCTGTGGGTTTTCCATCAATATGAGTTTGTTTGATGGTTGGTTCCTCTTGAGAAGATTCAGGTTATGCACTTCTAGCAGGAATACCATGGTACTGTTTGTCCTGGCTCATCAGATAACAGACACCTGCTCTGGATTAGTCCCTTACTGACAGTTTTGATTATTTGCTCCAGCTGATGTTTGGCAGTCCTTCCCCATTGTAAAATTACTATTTTACCCATTGTAAAGGTATATTTTGGGGTTATATTTTTTATTGAATTTGCTAACGTTACAGAGTTCTTGCACTGCCAAACCTTGGCTGAGAATCCAAAGAAAGAAATGGCACAATAGAATGCCTCATCCACCCATCATACAGTATATTAAAACTTGATTCATGTGCATTTTTGTAATTTTACAATCTTTTAAAAAATCATGGGCCGGGGATTTAGCTCAGTGGTTTTGCCGCCTGCTGCGCAAGCACAAGGACCCAAGTTCAATCCCCAGTACCAAAAAAATAAAATAAAAAAATCATAACAAGAGCCATAATTTAAATCTGCAGGTCTTCAGATTTCCAGTACAATGTGCCATTAAATAAAATCTCATCTTCATCTCACTTCACCTCTCAATAACACAAGGTTATATTTTGAAACCATGCATATGTGTTGTAATTCCTCACTTTCATCCATTTGTTTTATCTAGTTTCTCCAAATCCTAACCAACACATTTTCCTTTTTTCTCTTCCTTCCTTTCTTTCCTTCTTCTTTCTTTCTCTCTTTCTCTTTCTCTTTTTTTCCTCTCTTTCATGACAGCTATCCTAATGGGTATCTCATTTTAAAAAAAATTTGTAATCCTAGTAATAAGTGATACTGAGCTCTTATGTACTTACTGGCTATTTCTGTATCTTCTTTGGAGACATGTCTAGTCAAGATGTTTGTGTGCTCTACAACCAAAGGGCATGTCACACAGGCTCTTCCAGTTTACCATCTGATTTAAAATACTCATCACTATTCCAGGGTCATGATTGATACAATGTAAATATCTAGATATTATTAATTAAAATTCATGAACTTATCTTTGCCTCTGAAATTCACAATAATATGCTTGCTTACAGATAGAATCAAAGATGGACACAAAGTGAACTCACACATAGCCAAGCTGCAAGAGGTATGGAAAACTCCTCAAATTCAAATTCACATCTCTAAATCAATGATGGGTGCATCCTTTCTAAAGGTATGCCAGCAGGGAATTTGTGTGTGTGTGTGTGTGTGTGTGTGTGTGTGTGTGAGAGAGAGAGAGAGAGAGAGAGAGAGAGAGAGAGAGAGAGAGAAAGAGAGAGAAAGCTAGGGTTTTGTGCTTGTTAGGCAGTGACTCTACCCCTGAGTTATATCCTAATTCCCAAGGAAAAATTTAAATAGCAATATTCTTACTGGGCGTGGTGGCACATTCCTGTAATCCTTGCACTTCAGAGGCTGAGGCAGGAGGATTGCCATGAGTTTGAGGCCAGCCTGGGCTACTTAAGAGAGACTTTGTCTCAAAAAAAAAAATCCTTGAAATTTAGAGCTGAACTTTTTACTAACCTACTTAACTAGAGATTAAGGCACTGCTGATTACAAAGTATGTACCCAGCATACTATCTAGAAGTCAATAAATACCTATTGGGTAAATAACAAATAAATGCAAGGATTGTAGGTTCCTTATCATAAGAATTTTTTAGAGCTTTATAATACTTCAGATTTAATGTATTTTTACTCAAGAAGCTCAAGGCCCCAACTACAAAGATATTAAGGAAATTTTGTTCTAGTGTTAAAAACTCAATCACAAGATATTACTCAAGAACTACAAAATTAGATGAAAGCAGGTAAAGAAAATGGCAATAGGATCTTGCAATTGTTGACTTGTACTAAAGATCATAGTTGCAGGAGACAAGTACAGTGGTTTGTCCCTGTAGTCCCAGTTACTTAGAAGGCTGAGGCAGGAGTCATTGAGCCCATGTATTCAGGACCAACCATGGCAATAAAGTTAAAAAAAAAAAAAAAATCATACCTGCAGCTGGGCATGGTGATGCACACCTGTAATCCTAGCACTTGGGAGGCTGAGGCAGGAGGATGCCATCAGCTTGAACCCAGCCTGGGTTACACAGTGAGTTCAAGGTGAGCCTGAACTACATAGTGAAATCCTGTCTCAAAAAGCCAAACAAACAAAAAAATCATAGCTGCTAGAAGTTGTATCTGTAGAGCAAAGTTAATATGTGAATAGTTAATGATTTTTGTACACTGGTAAAATTTTCTGGCCAACATTTTGATTTTTATCTGGATTTATTACCAATTTAGTGCAGTAAATCCTATGTGTATATACATATGCATATATAATAGTCTCACATCTTAAACATTAACTTCAAAAAAGTACACTGGTCAAAATTACTTAGATTGCTGACCATATGGCCCATGTCCTACACAGAAATTCTTCTGGAAAAGACTGTTTTAGTTGAGACTAAGTAGAGTAATTGGGTTCCTTTTAGGTACCATGTTATACATCCAAAATCACATTAAGGATCCAAGATGGGTTGGGGATTTGGCTCAGTGGCGCCATGCCTGCCTTGCAAGGTCCTGAGTTCGATGCCTGGTACCAAAAAAACAACAAAAAAAGGAATGCAAGATGCCCCCACTGAGAGGAACATGAGAACTAAAACTTGCTGTTATAATAGATTTCTCCTTCCTTGTTCCTCTAGGGTTGTGGGTTCTCAAAGCTCATAGGACACCTGAGTCACTTAGTAGAATGGAAAAAGAAAGAACTTTTGTACTCTTTTTTTTCTGGCAGGGGAGTTTGGGGGATTGGATGTTGGGTCTCACACATGCTATGCAAGTGCTCTCTACTGAGCTATAGTCCCAGCCCTTTTCATGTTTTTGAGAAAGGGTCTTGATGAGTTTCTCAGGCTGGGCTCAAACCTGCAATCCTCCTGCCTCAACCTCCTGAGTAGCTGGAATTACAGGTGTGTGCCACTATGCTCAGCTCATTTGCTGTCTTTAAATGGCGATTTTTCTCTCTTTTGGCAAAGTTATCATAGTTGAATTTGCTTAAATAAAAGGTACAGATGGTACTGTTCCCAACATCCATCTTTTCGGATAAGGAAGGTTGCCACCTCTGTTCCCCAACACAGACTACAAATCTTCTTATTCTGTCTTTTAGCATCCAGATCTCACCATGGGCCAGAAGCGTTATCTGTGCAGCATTGCTAAGATCTATAACACAAACTACCTGAGGACATTCATGAAGGGGCAGTACATGAATGTGATTCAGCGCAGCTCATTAAAGCCAGGCAGGTGACCTCCAGTTAGCTTCTCCCTAGTTTTCACATGCAGTGAGTCTTCTAACAGGTGATTTGTACGGCAGGTGTCCTCATTCATCACAGGAGTCGCCTCAGCTCTCGTTACTCACAGAGACAGCATTACCCCTGCACTACATGGCGACACCAGAGGGAAAGAGAGGACTCTTTTAGCGGCGCAGCTGCATCTGCACCTGAAATGATCATCCAGCATTCTCTTTGGCGGCCAGTGAGAAACAAAGAAGGGTCTGTTTCTTATAGTTGTTTGTTTGTTGTTGTGGCTTTTTTTTTGCAGTACTGGGGATCAAACTCAGGACCTCGGGCTTCTGAGGCAGGCGCAGTGCCACTGAGCTAAATCCCCAGCCCACTTCATTTTTTTCCATCACTGGGGATTGAACTCAGGCCCTTCCCACTGAGCTAAATCCCAAGTCCTTTTTTTATTTTGAGACAGGGTCTCACTAGGTCACTCAGTTGCCCAGGCTGGGCTCAAACTTGTGATCCTCCTGCCTCAGTCTCCTAGAGTGCTGCGTCTAAATGCACACACCACCATGGCTGGCTATTTGAGCTAGCGTCTCACTGCAGCCTAGACTGGCCTTAAACTCACAATCCTACCTTCACCTTTTGAGTGCTGGGATTAAAGGCATGCACCACCATGCCCTGCCCAGACTGTTTATGACTTTAAGATGAGATTGGGCGTGTTCAGGGTGGTACGGCCATACTTTTTTTTTTTTAAGTAACATTTTAGTTTTTGGTACTGGCGATCGAACTTGGGACCTTGCACTTTTGAGGCAGGCAGTGGAACCACTGAGCTAAATCCCCACCCTGTCTTATGACTTAAGGAGGAAATCTACCCAATTTTATCTAGAGGTTTCCAAAGTGATATTAAAATTTCTGTTCCTTAATATATTCACTTTACTAAACTCAGAATAGGATGGACAAAAAGCACAAAAGGATCTTAGTTTCTCTTCACTGAGCTGAATGGGATGTGCCACTTCTTTTACAATATATTTTGTGGAATTGTAAAAACTTCAATTAACTAGAAATATAGACTGCTTCTTCAATATCATCCTTTCAAACTCAAAATGCAAATATTTCTAAAAGGAGGAATATATAGTTGCTTCTGCACAGGGAATTACTGTAAAGCGAAAAAGGAAAGAGGTAAAAAGAGAAAGCCCTAGTATTCAAATTGTGTTATAATAGTTTTGCATTGCCAGGTTAATATATCACAGGAGAATCTGGGAGCTTAAATGGCCTCTGGTAATTCCAGAAGGTAATAAAAAGAATTTATGGGCTGGGGATTTAGCTCAGTGGTTCCGGCACCTGCCTCAAAAGCGCAAGGTCCCAAGTTTGATCCCCGGTACCAAAAAAGAAAAAAGAATTTGTGGGCCAGGGATGTAGCTCAGCAGCATAGTGCCTGCCTGGCAAGCATGAGGCCCTGAGTTCAATTCCTGGTACCAAAAAAAAAGAATTTGTGTGGTCTTCCACATGCATTAGGCAGCTGTTCATGTTGTTGGCTATAACTAAGATATCTCCTTGTTACAGGTTAAAAACTGGATATGCATCTAAAATAAGATGTAAGTCACTGAAGATTTTCAGAAGACCAAGTAAACTGTTCATGCAATCAGGTAAATATGAAATTTAAAGATATACATATGCATTTTTGAAGATACTACACTACCTTTAAGAATTATTAAACCAAATAGTTTCATTTTGAAGACATTAAAAGTTTTAGAATGTGATCTGCTTGATTGTTTCAGATAAAACAGCTAAACATGGGCCGGGGATTTAGCTCTGGTTCTGCCACCTGCCTCGCAAGCACAAGGTCCTGAGTTTGATCCCTGGTTACCAAAAAAAAAAAAAAAGAAAAAAGCTAAGCATGAAAGTTTATCCTTTCATTTGTAAGAACATACTGCTCTGCCAGGTGTGGTAGCGCATGCCTGTAATCCCAGCACCCGGGATGCTGAGGCAGGACGATGGCCGAGAGTTCAAGCCTGGCCTGAGCTACATAGGGAGCTCAAGGCAGCCTGAACTACCTAGCAAGACGCTAAAATGTCTAAAAAAACAACCAAAATGTACTGCTCAAGAAAGTGAGATTCAAGGCATTTCTTTTTTTTTTTTTCCTTTTAGTGGAGCTAGGGCTTAAACCCAGGGGTTCACACATGCTAAATAGGCGCTCTATCACTGAGTTACATCCCCAGTCCTTCAAGGTATTTCTAATTCTAAATAAAGAAATTTACAATAATGGGCTGGGGATTTAGCTCAGTGGTTTCGCCGCCTGCTGCGCAAGTGCAAGGACTCGAGTTTGATTCCCGGCACCAAAAAAAAAAAAAAAATTTACAATATCAAGGTCAGAGACGTCACAGAGAATGAATCCATCAGAACCCAGATCTACAAACATCTCTCTAACCAAGAGATTTAGAAAATCTATAGGAATATAATACTCAGAATTTGTTATGCAGACCCTTGATTAGGATATAATTCTATGAATATTAATTTAAAGAGTAAGTGATTTGGGGGAAGAGGAGGTGACTGAAAGCTGAAAATTACAGGCAGTTTGTCTTTGCTAAAGGCATAGTCAGGTCATTTTGTAAGGTGTATTCCCAACTTTATTTTCAAAACTGACAAACTATTTTTCCTTCAGTTTCTTCAAATGATTCTGGATCATACATGAATGAAGAAAAAAAGGAAGATGATCTGTTAAACAAATGTATGCAATCAATGTCCATTGAAGAACAGGGAGAACACCTAATGTTAACCTGATAGTCTCGTTACTGAATTCACACAGCAGCTGATATCCAGACATCATGCCAAAGGGGTCGTAAATTGTGCCCTGTGTGTAGGATAGTGTTATTCACCATTAAGTCATCCATTTGGTTTGTTCAGAAACTTTCACAATTATAATTGGTCTGATATAGTTCCATGTACCAGTGCCATTTGTGTAACAGAATTTATGTGTAATATATGCTTGTATTTCTGTCTGGGTAAATTATAATTTTTCTTGTCACTTAAAATTGAATTATTTTTCTTTAAATCTGACAAATGCATTGTATAATTCTTCTGTGTACAATAAATTCTAATATGGCAACATTAGAATATTCTATAAGTATTTTTTGATTTTCTTGAACTACAGATACAGAATAGCATTTGGTAGAGATAACACCATGACTTGCAAAGAAGGTGCTCAATAAATATTTCCTACTTGAATGCAATTTAGAAATGTAAAACAAGTCAAAAGTGGTGGCACATTACTGTCCTCCCAGAACTCTGGGAGGCTGAGACAAGAGAATGACAAATTTGAGCACAGCCTGGCAACTCAGGAAGAACCTAAAAAAAAAAATTTTTTTAAATAAAATAATTAAAAAGTCCTGGGTTTATTCCATAGTACTGCAACAAAAAAACAAACAAACCATCAAATTTGCCTCATAAAAACTGTTGCTCAAACTAGTTCCAAATGAGAATAGTTGCACTGATGAAAAGATTTTTTTGGTGGTACTAGAGATCAAACCCAGGGTACTCTCCGACTTAACTACATCTCCAGTTCTTTTTATATTTTATTTAGAAACAGGGTCTCACTAGGCTGACCTCAAACTTCTGATCTTCCTATCTCAACCTCCCAAGTAGCCTAGATTACAAGTGTGAGCCGCCACACCCGGCAATGAGAAGATTCTTTTTTTTCCTTTTTTTTTTGGTACTGGGGATCGAACTCGGGACCTTGTGCTTGTGAGGCAGGCTTGTGAGGATTGAACAGAACCACTGAGCTAAATCCCTGGCCCTTTTTGTGGTTTTTTTAAAAAATATTTTGTTAAACCTTGAAAAATGGGAGTAGCAACAGTATAAAGAACCACTGCTAATTTAACATGTCAATATGGTATATTATTTAGGAAATAAAATGTGAGGTTAACATTATGACACAGAAAAGAGCTCTGAAAGGTCATCTCATCAACTTCACTTTAATACATCCACACAGTTTCATTTGGTCTCTAAATTTTTGTTTTTAAAAATTAAACACACGTTATCAATCAAATTAAAATGAAAGGTAAACATTTAGTACTGAAGAGAAAAATATATACAGAAAGTCTGGATTCTTTCTCTTCATGCACTATTTTGTAATAGAGTCCAAATACCCAACTTTGAAGTTACTATATTATAAGGATACATTTTTCTTAACGTAACCATTTACTGTGTGGTGGGTTTTTTCATAAGCCATATACTATAATGTAAACTAAATATATTCTTATAGTTTACAAGCATAGAGCAATTATGTATTAACAGAGAAGATGTATTATACTTTACTGCAAAATATTATAAAAGTGATACAGCTGTGTGGCTCTTAAATGTTTAATTACTTGAACAAGGGAATGAAGAACAAACAAAATCATCAAGACAAGCCTGGCTTTAAGATTTTTTGTATTCAATTCGTTCTACTTTGACGTCATCTCCAATTAGTTGATAGACGTAAGTGACCACTGTAGAAGCTTGGATATCCATCAACACAAATGATGGAATAATATTTCTGGAAGAAAAAAAGAGTTATTTTATACTAAAAAGCATAAGCACTATAAATTTCTACTGAAGATAACAACTTGGACTCAAGGAAAAATCCGATTATTTTCAATTTAAAAAGAACAATTAACAAAAGATTACCAAAAAGGATAGAATTATTTAAAAGGTTACATTTCTCTTTTATGAGATGTCACCCATGCAGTTGCCTTACCAAAGCCCCCAAATTCCTAAATGGCACGCTACTTACGTTTCCAAGGCATTATATGCCCCAGTGGCAGAACCTGGATTAATGTAGAATTTATTTTCATGCTCAAATGCTTCAAATTTGTGTGTGTGTCCTGAGATAAGAATGTCCACGTCAAACTGCCTCTGCAACAGGGCTAAGCTGGCCATATCTCCCCATGGAATGACTTGATGTCCATGGATTAGACCAATTTTGAACTGTCCCACAGTCACAACTTTCTGTTCTGGGTAATTCAGATTCTAACATAAGAAATAGACAAAAGGAAAATAAGTATTTTAGAGGTGATATTATAAAATATCAATCTTTGAATACTCAACCTCATATGGATGTCTTGATACAGTATCCCACAGCAAATACATTTATAAATATTTGATTTGTTAGTATAAAATACTTCACTTATGCTTAAAACATAATTATTCAAATGTAAACTGGAATCTATCAACCAATCCCTTTATTGTGTTGATTTCTATAAAATATGGGTTCTTTGGGGCAGGGATTTAGCTCAGTGGCACCATGCCTGCCTTGCAAGTGCAAGGTCCTGAGTTCGATCCCTAGTACCGCAAAAAAAAAAAAAAGGGTTCTTTGAGGCATGCTGTAAAGCATAATTATTCCCCTAAACTTGCGATTTTCCTCTACCTAAAGCATATGATTTGTGAACTACAGTATGTTCAAGTTATATCCCAGGCTATAACAGTTATGATCCCTGCTTTATGGATGAGGAAACTGAAGCACAAAGAGATTAAAATAACCTGCCAAGGTTACATGGCAGACAGTGGTTGAACTAAGGTCCAAACTGTTTTTTTTTTTTTGGTACTGGGGATCAAACTCAGGATCTTGCGCTTGCGAGGCAGGTGTGGTGCCACTGAGCTAAGTCCCCAGCCCAGTCCAAACTGTTATAGCATGGCTCAAGGGTTTGTGAATTTAGCGAATTAGAAAGAAAAAAATTAACTCTTGCTAATCAAACTTACTTTTTTTTTTAGGGCCGGGGATTTAGCTCAGTGGTTCCGGTGCCTGCCTTGCAAGCACAAGGTCCCAAGTTCGATCCCCGGTACCAAAAAAAAAAAA